CCCACAAATCTCTCCCAAACAAGCTTAACGTTTTTTTATTCAAATCTATACTTATGAGGAAAGTTCCTTTATATACTGGATCTACCACAAGCATTGTGACAAATTAGTTTCGGGTTTGATTTTTCGAAATATGGAATGTATTGCAATGATGTTAATCTTTTATTTGCAATGAATTTGCATTTGAGTTGTGATTTGTCACATGTATATTTATTTAATATGTTAAGAAGTTTATAAGTGATAAGAATCTCATCATTTGCATAATCGAGTAGATCTACCGCAAAGAATAATATACACCATATCACACATATTCACCATTTGATCTCATTTTCTGTTGATTAGGGCTTTATTGCTTGTTTGTGCAAATTGTATATATTTTATAACTGAAATTTAATTAGATTGTAAATCCTGCTTCTTTTAACCAAAAAAAGGTATATTCACTAAATATTTGATTTTCCGTGTATATGGGGATATATACTGCGAGTGGATATGTTTCAAAATTTTTTAGTGATAATGTAAAAATCGTGATGGAGGCGCAATGAATTTGTGTACGGAAATCTGCATTCTTACTTCAATATAATTGTGTCTTGATATTCTTTAGAAATTTAATTTATTTCATAATTGTGTGTGTCTGTGTATGCAATCCGGAATCTGTTTATAAAATTATTGTTTTTGGCCATCATCAATTTTTTGAAATGCTCATTCAATTTTGGAAATGACATTAATGGAGAACGTGAAATAGACTAAATTCAAAAATGATCGGTTACATAAAGTATATGTAAACATATTTCATATTTCATCTAGTATTTTAGGTTTTAATAATGTAACATAGTAAATTATAAAATATTTTTTTTGTAATGATGCAAATACAAAATTTTCCGTTCTAAATAATCAGCACAACTATCTTGGCCTAATCTACTTGTCGTATGGGTCCAATACCAAATTCACGGTATTTGATACACACGAGGCACTTTAAATTTTGTGTTCGAACTCATTTTTCATATCATTTGACACGATTGATTATGGGGAGAAAGTAGCTCGGTTGTGTTGGATTGACTTCATAAGCATGTATTTCAAGCATAGGACGCGTTTATGAAGTTCTTATATGTGAAGCTAAAGAATCGTTGAAAAGTTCAATTTTATTAAGGAAATTCACAGCATTAATAAGGCCCAATCCACTTGGCATATGGGCATAACACCGAATTCACAATACGTGAATGAGCTACTTTAAATTGTGTCCAAACGTCATTTTTCTAGCCATTTGCAATCAATGTGTGCCGTAAAAGTTTACTTTTTACGGCATGCCATCCATGTATGTCGTAAATACTTTTAGTAACTGAATTATTATGGTGCATTTAAGGTATGTCGTAAATAGTCTATTTTACGGCATGTTGTATATGCCGCCGTAAACGTGTGCCGTAAAAAGTAACATTTGTTGTAGTGTTGACACGGTGACACCATAGACTATGGTGAGAAAATAGAATTTGCATTGGCTGCGACTTAATAGGTCTATAGCAGAATTGAATTCTTTATACAAGAAATATGAAAACAGATAAAATGTGCCAACGAAATTCAATTAGAAAAATTTATTTATAAGATAAACTATTTATTTTCATAATCATACTCCAATCATAACGTGAGCAAATACATCAAATGATGTGTGTAACAACTGCAAATGTAGTATAAATGGCTATGATTCAATCAGAGTTCATCTTTGAGGATGGATTTTTCATGTCCAATATGATTATTTTTGGAAGTTTTAATGGGATAAGAGGGTTCCATTGCTATACCACACAGTCCTTCTGTAGCTTTCACTCCACGTTGCATTCTAATGTAACCCTTTTCTCCCCATTCAGCACCCCATGAATTCTTCACAATCCAGTATTTTGTTCCATCAAGTGTTGTTCCGTAACCCACAATCGCCACCCCGTGATCTAGCTCCGTCCCACAGTATCCTTCGAACACCCCCTGTCACACAAGCCGATCGGTTGGTCAAAACAAAGTCAACACACAAGGATCGATAAGAGATTGTCCTTGAATCGATTGAGTGTTCAGTGTATAGGTTTACCTCGGAGTAGAACTGGAAATCAGAACCCCCGGCGTCAATGGCAACTGATATAGGCTGATTAGCCACGGCTTTCAATAGGGCATCTTCATCGTTCACAGGCACGTCCTCGTGCCCATCAATTGTCACCGCTGGCGAATTCTCCTGAATTTAAAATTCTGTTCATTACACTGTTGAGTTGTATCCAGTATTGTGTACGAAATATTCATGCTAGATGGAATTAATTACCTTTATGGAATCACATCTTCCATCTTCAGCCGTGTAAGGATAGTTTTTCTCAGTTGTAATGCCGCCTTTTTTCTTGATGAAATCAAATGCTAAATCCATAAGACCTCCATTACAACCTTGATTTTCTGTATTGTCACAATCAACAAGTTCTTGTTCTGACAAAGAAACTAGGATGTTTGTCCTAATCTGGTTTATTCCTTCAACTGCCACCACTGTTGAAAATGCCCAGCAACTACCTGTAACATCAATCACAAAAAAATAGATCTAGTTAGAGGTGTAAAACGAGCTAAATTGGATGAAGCCCTAGGTCCAAACAAGCGTGTTGGGCTGCCCTGGACTTAGATGGCTCGATCTACTGTTTACACTACTAGGGGTCTGTCCAACATAACCCACCTTACACTTCGGGGTCATGGCAATGAAAGAGAACGAGAGTCAAAATATAAAACTTAAGTTAATTGTGCTATATTTGTGGAATACTCGATAATATTACCACATTGGCCTTGATCTTTGATATCGGTGACAGCACCTTTCTTCCTCCAATCGACAGAAGGTGGAACACTCTTTACATTCGCGTACATGAAAGTTCCATTTCCTCGTGCACCTTGGAGCATTCGATGATGCTTAATCTTAGAACCAGCATAAAAACTTCTGAATTCATGGCTAGTCATGTCTGCAAACTTGTTAAGCTTCAACTTATAAGGCTTATCTTGCTTGTTGAAGTTATGGACATAAAGAGTATTGGCCTTGAACACATTGAAACGCTTATGCTTTTCGTCTAAATTTGTTGACAAGGTGTGGTAGCTCCGCCACCTCTCGTACAAATCCCATAGCCTCTCCTCCGTCTCGAGTTCTTTCTCATGAAAATCGAAGCATTTTCCGAGAGTGAAAACTAAAGCCAAAGAGAGGAAAAGTATGAAAATTTTCTTCATTTTTTAGTGAGCAAGTTGTCACAAGATGAGAATTTATAAAACACAAGACACCTTTATATAAAAGAGGATTCAATGAAATCACGAAGGGATGGAAGTGATGGATGCCTTATGGGAAAGAACAATCAAGAATTATGGATATGGGTGTTATGGTGGAGCAATTAATGGCTATAAAACTTAGCAACTATTCTTATAATTGGTTAAGTTCACACACACAACAAACTTTTAACATGGGGATGGGGTGTGTGCGTGGGTGGGGGGGGGGGTCAGGTGGGTGCGTTGGTGGAGGGAGGTGTGGGATCATACATGCATACATACAAAACAAATTAATGAAGAGTGAGGTTCCATGCAGGAAAGTTAACTTCGTAGGATATTGGGAAAAGAAAGAAGGTGATGCAAGCATTAGTTATGTGGTTAGATGTTTTTTGGCATGCTTTCTTGCAAGTCGAAACCAAAGTTTTCGAGCACTTCACGAGTATTTTTAAGACAAAATACTAGACATGATAAAATATTAATGAAATAGATAAGATTTAAGCTAATTTTTGTAATTTATTGTCATTCAATTGAGCTTATGAAGCACGTTATCTTTGGTGATAACTGAAAAAATAGATATTTAAAGTGCTCTATGGAAAGAAGTGACGAAAGGGAATATACAAGAAATACTATTAGTAGCTTCCATTGTCTTATAATTGTTAATCGTTGAGAAAAATAAGTAGTACAAAGATTGAATAATGTAATAACGGAGACGAGTATGTGCACTATTTAACACTAAACACGATTAAATATTACATGAATAGATAAAATTTAACTTATTTTGCAATTTAGCACATGTTTGGGTGTGCTTATTAGTATCGAGACTTGTTACTTTCAAAACTTGAAAATGAACAAATTGTAGATCCCCCAATAACTGTGACTCTTATTTTATCTACTTAAAAATCTTTTAACGATATAAAGCAATTAATGTTGTTCAACCGTGGTCATGGAACATAGTTGTTGATAACTGAATATTTTGAAATGCTTTATGGAGAGAGAGGTGACAAAAAGACGAGAAAAGTACACGGAAAATTTCATATATAAGAGATTATGTATATCCCTCGTTTCAAAATTAAGAAACGTGTAAAACTTCAAAAATCATATATTAATTAGGACAATGTTAGAAGTACAAAATGGTTTACAAACTCATTTACTCACTACACAAAGGAGTGGGGACCACACATCTGCCATTTTTGAATTCACACGGGACCCGCATTTTTTGTGAGAGTGATTAAACCATTTTGTAAAAATGTGTGAGTACAAATAGCACAATCCTATTAATTAAATTTTATTTATGAAATAATTAATTAAAAATATATTTTATAAATTAAATATATTAAGATCACACCGTACAATTTGGTTACAATCAAAAATTTTATAGCTAACAAATTATTTCATAGTCACAAATAAATTTTTTTATGTCACAAATTAAAAAAATTATAAGTCACAAATCATAAATTTTATAAGTCACAACTTATTACATAATTACAAAATATCAAATTATCGATTACAAATTGACAAATTTTTAGGTCACATATTATTTATTGGTTACAATCAACCAAATAATTTGTGACACCATTACCTCTTGCCCCATTGCTGCCACCACCATCGCCGCTAGAACCACCACCATCTCAAACAAACCAATACCCACAACCAAACACCACAACTACTTCACAACCAATGCAACGATAGTGACAACCGTCAGCACCACCACCATCGCCAGTACTACCACCACAACCAACTCAGCCAACATCGTTGCCACCATAACGAAATCACTGCACAACCACCACAAAACACCACCAACCGCAAAAAACCACCTGCAAACACCACCACACAACAAACACCACCAACTGTAGCGAGATTTGAATATGTATTTATCGCAGCCACCACCACCATTATTGCCAACACCACCACTGACACCATCGTTAACACCATCACCATCACACTGGGTTCTGAATCTGAATCTGTATCTACAACCTCATCACCATCGCTAACACTATTACTACAACACTGCCACCAGCAATTTCAAAACACAAATCAACGATGGTCTTAGTTTATCTTAACAGACAAATCACAGAGTCGCAGTGGTGATTTGAGATCCATGAATTGTTGATGGATATCTAAGAACGCCCCTGTGGTGATCGGAGGCCGACATGGTCTTTGCGTGAAACTACCAAAATACCTGCATCAGTGCTTTTCGCGCGAGGCGCCTATGTGCACACCACCTTCCACGCTCAAGAAAAGCGCCACCTTCTGGCGTAGTACTAATCGACTGGTCTGAATAGAGAGGGAATGGGTAGGGAGAGGGGCCTGGTGCGATTGAGGAACGAATCGATCATTTACTAAGATAAAAAAGATCTTCCGTGGGTAGAAAAGCTCCGGTATGTTGGGGGATATGTATCTTTTTGATTAGAGGTTGAATTGATCATCATTAGAAGAATTATGCCAAAAATTAGGATACATTTTGAGAAAATCAAACTCCATCGAAGAGAAGCAAATGAAAGACTTTCATAAAAATTCTCTATTCTATAAATATAGAATATAAAGAAAGAAAGGTAAAAGGGGGAGAGATTTATGGTTTGCTATTTGGGAGTTTGAATCGAGTTCTCTATTCTATAAAGATAGAATATAATGAAAGAAATGTAGAAGGGAGAGAGATTTTTGGTTTGCTATTTGGGAGTTTGAATCGGGTTCCATTGTGTTTTAGTTTTATTTTTCAAAAAAAGAAACTTGTAAATCTTAACTTTGAATTGTTTTTTTTTTTTTTAACTTGTAAATCCTAATTTTGAATTGAAAAGTTCAAAACTTTGGTTGCTTGTAATTTTCACTACTATTAAGATTGAATAGTATAATAAAGAAGATTTTAATTTATTTTTATAATTTAATATTATATTGTTGACCTTATCAAATATATGAAGATTAATATTATTTATTGTCATGATTATGAAATATTAGTGATGTATCAATTCATTATTCCTCACATTTCTCTCTCTCTATTATAAAAATTGAACTGCCAAATCCCATTATTCTACATAAACTGTCATGTACCGATATTCCATCATCATAATGATAAATAGTATTATTCTTAAAGAATGTTAAAATCAGTCCATTAGAGTATCTCCAATCTTGGTGTAAAATAGGTTTAAATTGTTATTTAGATCTCCAAAGTGGCCAAAAATCTCTCCCATTAAGAGATGCAAAAGAAATGTAAATTACATTTTTCGATAGAAAATGTAAAAAATAATAATAATATAATTGTACATCCGTTTATCCTACATAAATAAAAAAGTTACTTTGGGGGTTACTGTTCATAAGCCGAGCCGAGCCAAATGGCTTTATGGCTCGGCTCAGCTAAGCCGTCTAAGCCTTTTTTTTTTTATATGTTTGATTCAGTATTTTAAGTTACAAATATTCGTTTTAAGCGGCTCGGCTGGCCTTTTTTTTTAACGTTTGATTCAGTATTTTAAGTTACTAATATTTGTTTTAAGCGATTTAAAATTTGTTGAAAATGTTGAAGTGCGGCCATGATAAATATAT